GCTTGGGCTCACGCGTCTCTCCACTTCTGGGGGTGTGCCGGTTCGCTAGGTGTTTTGCTCCAGAGCTTCACCTAGCCTAGGGGTGTGTTGGAGTAGGCTAGAGCTCGCTCTGGTCTTTATTTTGGTGCTCCTATATTATTTCTCCATGCTTAGAGAGAGTTACGCATTCAGGTACATTTTAGGTTTACTTCGTAGTTTTTAGTACAAACCGAACACACCCTAGGTTCAATTAGGGTTTCCAACCCTATCTCTTTTGTACCTCGACATTTTCTTGCTAGTCCAACTTTTTCGACCCTACCTAACTCTCTCGCCATCCATGGCTCCTCACAACTTAACACCCAATATTTCGGATCACAAGTTATGAACAAGAGAGAGGTGCGGGCGACAATCAATGACACTCAACATGCACAAATTATCTCGCTTCATGAGATTTGCGAACTGATTGTGAACGTTGGCGAATGAAGTTTCCACCGATAACTTTGATCGCTACTGTATGGAGGACTAGTGCGACGTTCGCAGAAGTTGGAGCGGTTTCTTAGGGTTGCTTTACCCTACCCGACCACGACTAAGACACTGAGGTCAATGCCAGAGAACACACAATGGGGACTGTCTTCAACTACTGGTCTCAAATAGTGGAAGAAATCAAGACCTTTTCAGCTCCTGCCCCATATCAATATGGGTCGCAGCCAGCCTTGCCTTTGTTATCGAGTTTCCACTACCAAAGCAAGCTAAGGAGCAGCTCCAAACTTCCTTGACAATTGCTCCGCTCGAATCCTACCCAAACCATAGAAAGAGTATGTGGGGAAAGCAGACTCCAACAATTAGCAATTTGAGAAGTATTGATGAAGGATCACGGATGCGAATTGCAATTGATCGCGTACCTTAGCAAGAAGCTACATGAAGCAGTGTTGAACTATCCGATTCATGATAAGGATGTCATGGCGATCGTTAGAGCTTTCAAAGCGTGAAGGTGTTATCTCAAAGGAGCGAAAAGGGCTGTCCACACTGACCATTGCAGTCTAAAGTACATGAAGTCACAGCCAACCCTTTCCAGGCGGCAAGTTCGGTGGATGGACTTTATTGAGATCCACTTCTGCTATGATGCCGTCTACAAACTGGGACTCAACAACAAGATAGATGCTCTAAGCCGACCCAGCCACGTGGCATGGATTCATACAGAAGGGACGAGTCATGCAACTGTTGTGCTTGCAGGCCACCTTCGTGCGACGTTGGCAAGCTGCCTTTGTGCTGCGCTGGAACTGACTTGCTAGGTTGCTAGGTGAGTTGCCGTGTATGTAATCATTTGCTGTAGGTGGGTTTACCCTTTCTCCTTGCTATACCTTATCCTCATCTTCTCTTAGTGCTACTATTTGGCCTACCCTTCTTGCTCGACACCATCGCCATACTCCTATCTCCTAAGTTCACAGTTCAACGTGGTATTAGAGCGAGTTTTAACTCCTAGGCCTAAGTCGCCATGGCCTTTTCTGCTAGTGGCGTGGATTCTGCTGCTGCGTCCGCAAAATCTACTGCTGCTGCGTCCGCGAAATCTGCTGCTGCGTCCGCGAAATCTGCTGCTGCAGCGATTTTTCTGCTGTAGTGAAATCTACTGCGATGTTTGGGCCTGCTGCACGACGGTCGTGCTGGTCGTCGCGGCCTTGCGTCGTCGCTGCCAGAAGCGCCAGCCTTGAAATCAGCACCAACCAGCGCCAGCCGCGACAAAAGCGTTAGCCGCGACAGAAGTGCCAACAGCGCGAGCCGCGATAGAAGCGCAAGCAGCGCCAGATGCGACAGAAGCGCCAGCCGCAACATCAGCACGAGCAAGCGGCAGCCGCGACAACAGCGCCAGCCGCGAGAGCAGCGCCGACTAGCGCCAACCGCGGCCCTTATCTCTCCCTGCCGCGCCTTTTGACGTGGGGGGAAGGGTGAGGGGGGGGAGGGGGGGGGGGAGGGGTTGGCGGGGGTGACCAGCAAACTGCCACCAACTGCCTCTCTTCCTCCTCTCTCGTCTCCGTTTCCCGCCGCCTCCTCCTCCATTTGTTTGCTCCTCCAGCCATCTCCGTCGTTGTTGGGGGGGAGGTTTGAGGGGGTGGGGGGGGGAGAGGTTGGAGGGGGGGTGGCCGACGTAAAGCCTGTACTCCCAGTCGCCAGTGAGCCGGTTGCTCCAGTCGCCCGTCGGGTCGGTTGCTCTATCCATACGAGCGGGATGCTCCAGGCGTACGAGCTAGTTAACGCCAGTGCTCAAATACCGTGGGATAGCAGCTTCAGCCGCCGCCCACCTCTCTCTCTCTCTCTCTCTCTCTCTCTCTCTCTCTCTCTCTCTCTCTCTCTCTCTCTCTCTCTCTCTCTCTCTCTCTCTCTCTCTCTCTCTCCTCGTTTGTCATCTCCTTCTGCTGCTCTCTACCTTGGTGTACCCCTTTATGAAATGATGCTGCACTTGGTCATCCGCTGCAGGCAGTTAGGGGGTCTGTTGGAATATATTTATCTATATTCTATATTACTGCCTGCAGTATAAAGTGTAGTGTATGTAATCATTTGCTGCACATGGTGTACCTACTTTCTCCATGCTATACCTTGTATTCATCTTCTCTTAGTGCTCCTCTTTGGCCTACCTTTCCCTCTCGATACCATCGCCATGCTCCTTCTAGTTCCTGATCTCATAATCTCCTAAGCTCACAGTTTAACAATATCGACCCTGTCATCTCATTGTCTGGATTTTTTTTCCAACATTCGCGAGTGGAACTCTTGTCCACCTACGAGAAGAACGAACTTGCATAAGTGCTAGACAGTGCTCCGATCAGCCCGTATAACACGTGACTCTCCGCACTGGCCCTACGGCTCGACAATTCTCAACCGGGCACTAGGGCCGCAGGGCACCCCTTTGTTCATTGTTAAAGTTACCATCTTGTTTAGCTATGCCTTCTCTCATTGTATGGATTATCCTCGATAGTGCAATCTTCACTCGCTCACTAGATTGCACTCGCCAACGCATTTCGGATTTTCTCTACCATGCCCGAATAGTTCTCGGTAGCGTCGTCTAGTGCTTTCGGTAGCGTTGTTTAGCGGTCGGTTGCGCTACCGAGCACTACCAAGTGAATCATATGGGCTTCAATCTCTTACTACGTAAATTTCGTACTTATATCCAAGTCGGGAGGGTAAACTGAATGGTTCTGTTTTTGTCACTTCCTAATGAGTTCGACCAGCGTGAGAAATGTGATTTTAAAGCGAAGACCAATCAACGTTGAGAAAGTCCAGGTTGATTACACCTGAGAACGCGCTCAGGCGAAATCTGAGTATCGGAGATAATGGCCGTAAGAAATTCTGTGTCCTTCCTCCCTAGTCAAACGCGACAATGGCCCTCGCCTTGTCCTGAGTTCTTTCTGACCCTCCTTCGCATCAGCCACCAATCAAATAGTTGCACCGCAAACACGGTACTGCAGTGATTGGTCAGTGGCGTACGCGGACCTGCTCATGTTCATTTCCATTTCTCTTCGGTTTTGGTTGGTTTGGGAAGACCTCAGCCCCAGACGGGGCTGCTTGCGGGCCTCCTCCACATCATGTTCACGTTTCCCCCACGGTAACATTCGATTCTTCCTGCCGAACCCAGACTGAGTGAATTCAGCCTAATGAAGACTACCCTATAGGCTGCCCAAAACGAGCTCATGCAGCATGAGTCTACTAAGCTACCTCAGACTTTCTCGATTGGTGTGAAAAAAATCGATGATTCTGAGTTTTTTCGACTTTAGGGACTGTCATGCGGCACCAGAACAGACGGGTGATTCTTGGACTTCAACTGTGGTAGTCCAGCCCGAATGGTAAGGAATATCTAAATATTCGGTTTCTTTGAGAAGCAAAGCTGTTAGTACGTCAAGAATCTATAATCCTGAGGGACATTACCAAGCCTCTTCCCACCACAACCACCCCGCACCAACCAGTCATGCAAGTACTTCTTTCTCTTGGTGGTGCGCGGTGAGTTCCAGTTTCAAGCTTCACCGTAAGTGCTGCCACATTAGTTCGCTGGTGGATAGTACGCATTTGGATTTCCTTCGTCCATAGTATCTATTCGTATATTCCCGACACGAACAGAACCAGTTTTAGAGAGGAGCCTGCTCCATCAGTCACCACACGACACTTTAACAAAGATGGAGGCAGCACCGCAAGCCCTAGTCAGACTCAAACAGGAATGGCAGCAGGAACAGCGCGCTGTCAACGGCGGGGCGTTGGAGCAAGCTGGTGACACGACGCGGGATTCCGGCCGCCATGAATTTAACAAATTCGAGGATCAACCATGGACGTCTCCCTCTGGCCCTTTCGACTCGACCGTCCCATCCGAGACGAAACCGAACATTGACTTTGAGTTTATGGATAACCATCAAGGTGGCGACATAAGCGACCTAGATAGTCGCGGTGACATGGTGTTCGGCAGTGAAGCTTCAACGACGGCAGCGACGACACCAGCGGTTGGTGGCGAACCCGTCGACCACGATTCCGTTGAGCAGAATCCCGTTGACCATGCAGTAGACCGTCCCGTTGACCATGCTTCTTCAGCTAATATTTGTCCCTCCACGATCGACCGCGTCCCGCCGCCAATGTATTTTCGCCGACAAGAAATGAATATCCAGCGACGGGTAACAGGGTTACTCGATTTGGACGCGGACGTCCTCCTGTCTATCGCGCGTATGACGGGTCGCCCTCTCCGAGCCATCGCCGTCCTCGCCATGTGCTGCACGCGGCTCCGTCAACTCGCCGCGACTGACCTCTGGCCGCACTACTGTCACACCCGCGGGAGAGATCTCGTCCGAGAAATAAACAAGCGACAGGAGATGGAAAATCTAGTTTTGAACGGCCGCGACGGTGACGCACAGTCGTCTCGCCGGACGAGTCTTTCCAAGCGAAAACTCGTCGGGTTACCAACCGCCGCTCTTTCGCCAAAGCTTCTCAGCTACTCGCCCGGTATCGTCGAGGTGCCGTTCAGCCTACAGAACCCGCGAATCTCGGAGCTTATGGAGAAAGTCAGCCAATGGTGGTCCGACGGATACTTTGACGGAGACGACGCGAGCCGCTGTTCCGAAATTACCTCGGATGGTCCCCGCCGTGGGGGCGCGTGGCGCAGGTGTCGGCGCGCCGCGTCGCGAGTTGCGTGGGTGCCTGTGATCGCCGTGCTCGTGCCGATCGTCGTGGGGTATTTCGCATGCGTCTTCGTGAAGCGGACGGCGCGGACCGCGCGACGTGTGGCTGTAAGGGGAGGGAGGAGGCTGGCGAGGAGGGTTGGGGAGACGACGATGGGGAGGGTGGGAGGGAGGGTTGTGTCGAGAATTGGAGAGAGATTGGGGTGGAGGAGGGGGGGTGAGATGGGGGACGGAGGAGGAGGGATTGACATTGAGGCGATTCTGAGGGGGGCGGGATACGCGGATTGGGATGGGGATGAGTTTGTGGAGCAGTATGGGCGCATGTGGGATGATGCTACTGATGATGGCGTGGTGGGTGATGGTGACGGTGCCGGTGACGGTGATGGTGATGGTGATGGTAATGGTGATGGTGATGGTGATGGTGATGGTGATGGTGGTGGTGATGGTGATGGTGATGTTGGTGGTGATGGTGATGTGGATGATGTTGGTGGTGATGGCGATGGTGATTCTAATCATGCGGTTGTTGGTGTTCCTGACGAGGAAGCTGATGATGCCGGCGCTCAGGATGCTGACGCTGCTGATGGTGCTGATGGTGCTGATGGTGCTGATGGTGCTGATGGTGCGGCTGATGCTGCTGATGCTGGTCTTGAAGGTGATGGTGATGCTGCAGAGCGAGACACACATGTATGGATGGTCATGGGCGGAGATTTAGCAGCAGCAGAGGAGGGAACAACAGCGGAAGAGAGAGAAGCACGTATGGTAGCCATAGCGTCGCGCGTGGGGGGCAAGAAGATCGCGTGGGGGCTTGTGGGCCACGTGGACGAGACGTGCCTTCTTTCGCCCTACCTCCTCGCATATCTCTTCCCCCCCGCGCTGCTCTCCGTCTCTCTCGAGGAGGAGGGAGAGGGGAAGGGGGAAGGGGAGGAGGGAGAGGGGGAGGCAGGGGCGTCGTTTGCTGTGATGGAGCCATCGTTGAACATGTGGAACATCTCCGTCTGCCGAGGCTTCATCGATTCGTTCCCACTCACCAAGTAAGGAGTGCTGGAAATCTCTCAAACCTTCAACTCCCAAAAGTAGCACATACACAGATGGATGCGTTATTTGGCCTCGTTGCCTTTCCCCATGGCTATTTCAAGCCGACATTCTCCTCCATTCTTGGTCAGAATATTTGGGTGGACACACCATCTTCTCTTCCCTCTTCCCCCCCACCTCCTTCTGCGTCTCTTCGAGTTCTTATTGCACCAACTGTGTGTCACTTCCTGATCTACCTGTCGTCCCCCCCACCGAATCCACCAGGCTGTATCGACAGCTGGCGGCTCGTTCTGCTGCTGTTGACAACCATGGGAAATGCCCCTTCTGCTGCTGCAAGGTAATGCCGCTCCCTTCAAAATCAGTCATTGCTACCGCAAGCTTACCTTGCCCAAGATTCCAGGTTTAGGGTCTCGGGTAGTACGGTGAACCAATGCACACATTTTTCACACTTGAAACGAGCTAAAATTCACTGTGGGGTGACCCTTGGTGCAAAAAGGATGGTGCCTTGTGTGTTTCCGAGGTGCCTGTTTGCAAGGTAGCATGCCCAGTCATTAGGTTGCGTCGGATCGCACAGTGCTAATGGTGGGTACTGAAACAGGCAACGGCAGGCGGCGGGAGGTTCAGTGTTTGCATTTCATGACTGGTGCGTGTGCAGGTTTGGAACGCATTGGACATGCTTGCAGACACGGACGCCCTAAGCTTTGCCGTATGCGAAAATGTGAGTGGCTAATGCGAATGGTTCAAGGTGTCCAAAGTTGCAGGCTTTGGAGTTGCGATTTGTAGCCGTGCTTGCATGCTGCCCAGATCTGTCATTCACTGTCTAGTTTCTTTCCGTCCCCATCTCCCACTCACACACGTTCGCACACTCGTATACGCACACGCACATGCATTGTGTGCTTGCATTTGTGTTTTCCACCCTCGATTACACCCGCAAACCACTCTCCTCCCTTTGCTCTCATCCGTCTCTCATCCTATTCTTGCAGGGCCACTTTTGCGGATTATTTAAAGTGAGTACTACATGTCTCTTGTGTTGCTCTCTTTTCAGTTGCACCTTTTCCTTGTTACCGTAATCACTTGTTTGTTGTTGTCTTCATGTCACTTCCTGCCTTTTGCTACTCTTGTCCTTACCAAGTTTTGCCCCCTCCCATGCACACCCCATCCCCATACCTTGCCTGCCAAATTGCCTCACTTGCTTGCAGGAGAGTTGATAAATATTTACTTGAGAAATACAGGGGAACACTGGAATCGGAAAATAAGAGCGTGTTTCTACAGCCAACTTGACTCGACCCCCTTGCCGATATTTAATATATATATAGGCCAAGCTCTTGTTGTACGGTATGTTACAGTACATGTTTGCTGGTTGCCAAGGTGTGAGTGCAACAAAGATGATGTGGAACCACGTGTGACTAAGCTGCCCTGAAAATGAATGCAGAAGAATGTGGGTTTCATGAATATAATTTAGGGTGTAGGGTTAGGTCTAGGGTTTAGGATTTAGGAGCCTGGATACCTCATGAACAAAACAGACCTTAGGAGCCTGGATACCTCTTCCCAAGGCATGGGTCATGTATCCGTAATAACCCGGATATACCCCCAGGTGGGGGTGTAATAAAACCTGGAAAAATGCTGGGTGGGCTTATAATGAGGCATTTTTTATAACCCCATGGGGGAAATAAATGACACTTAGAGAAATATGAATTTAAAACATAGAGCTGTAGAGCTCAGCCTCACGGTTTCAATCGAGACTACCACAAAAATGTTCGCTTCGAAATTCACTGAGAATGTGCCACCCTGGCAAAAATCTCTGCCATCGCGTGCTGAAAAGTTGCAAACACGTGCGCGCCTGTGGCAATTTCGCCAGGTGGGCCAGGGAAGATTTTGCCAGACACGTCACCAACGATTGTTCCTGGCGCGTTAGTGGCGAACTCACTAAAAAAGACAAATTGCAGTAAAAAAATCATTGGGTGCGCTTATACGAAGATGACCCAAATTTAGGGTGGGCTTATACCGTCATCGCCCGGATATAAGACAGTGTTGAATAGTAGACAGGGGTGTCAGAGTTATATGACTTAGCTACTGTAGGCTATAGTGGGGTAGCACATATGGGGTACAGTTGCCTAGGGTTTGCCTTTTGTACCAAACTTTCACTTAGTCATTTCATTCCTGTTTTCTTGATTCACATGGTATAGAGCGGGTTCCTACATGGGACCGTTCCTTCCTAAGGGCCCACCATAAGAAATTTTTTTAGCTGGCCGCGCACATTGCGCCCTGCCCTAAATTTTTTTTTTTTAGCGGCCCCTACGCTGCCCCTACGCGGCCCCTACGCCGCCTCCCACGCGCCCCCTATGCGGCCCCTGGCGGCGCCCTGACGAGGCCCCTGCCGGCACCCTATCGCGGCCCCTGACGCGCCCCCTGGTGGCGCCCTGACGCGGCCCTGACGCGGCCTGACGCGGCCCCTGGCGGCGCCCTGACGCGGCCCTGCCGTGGCCCCTGACGCGGCCCTGACGCGGCCTGCCGCGGCCCCTGCCGCGGCCCTGAAGCGGCCCCTGACGCGGCCCTGACACGGCTCTGCCGCGGCCCTGACGCGGCCCTGACGCGGCCCCTGGCGGCGCCCTGACGCGGCCCCTGACGCGGCGCCCTGACGCGGCCCCTGCCGCGGCCCTGACGCGGCCCTGCCGCGGCCCCTGACGCGGCCCTGACGCGGCCTGCTGCGGCCCCTGCCGCGGCCCTGAAGCGGCCCCTGACGCGGCCCTGACGCGGCTCTGCCGCGGCCCTGACGCGGCCCTGACGCGGCCCCCTGCCGCGGCCCCTGGCGGCGCCCTGACGCGGCCCCTGACGCGGCGCCCTGACGCGGCCCTGCCGCGGCCCCTGACGCGGCCCCTGCCGCGGCCCCTGACGCGGCCCCTGACGCGGCCCCTGTCGCGGCCCCTGACGCGGCCCCGCCACCTACCTTTCCGGCCACGCCGCCTCCTCTCAGCGGCCCCGCCGCCTCCTCCCAGCGGCCCCGGACGCCGCCCTCTCAGCGGCCCCGCCGAGCCGCCCAGCAGCCTAGCCGCCCAGCAGCTGAGCCACCGAGCCGCCCAGCAGCCGAGCCGCCGAGCCGCCCAGCAGCCGAGCCGCCCAGCAGCAGAGCCGCCGAGCCGCCCAGCAGCCGAGCCGCTGAGCCGCCCAGCCGCCGAGCCGCCCAGCAGCCGAGCCGCCCAGCAGCCGAGTCGCCGAGCCGCCCTGCAGCCGAGCCGCCCGAGCCGCCCTGTCCGGTAAGAGCAGCGCCTCTCTCACAGCACTGCCCTCACCCCACTGTTTGCGCTGCTAGTCTACTGCTGTCATGGCTACCCCTAGTGTCCTCGCTTTTGACGCTGAGGGTCGGGCCATTGACTTTGACGTCTGGATAGATGACCTGCAGCTTTTCTTACAGTGCGATAGGGCAGACGGCCTCTCCCTCTTTGACCTCACTTCTGGTGCCTCTCCTGCCCCCGCCACTGATGCTGACGCAACTGTTCGCTCCCAGTGGGCCACGCGCGATGCTGCTGCACGTCTTGCTGTGCGTCGCCACCTGCCTACCTCTGAGCGTGCGCACTTTAGCCAGTACAAGAGTGCTCAGACCTTGTACGACGCTGTAGTTGCACGCTACTCCTCCCCTGCCACTGCTGCACTGAGTCGCCTCATGCTACCGTACCTCTTCCCTGACCTTGCTGCCTTTCCCACAGTCGCTGACCTCATTACGCACCTCCGCACTAGTGACACTCGCTACCGCGCTGCGCTTCCTGCTGAGTTCTGCGCCAAGAACCCCCCCCCCATGTACATCACCCTCTACTACATAGTCACCCGGCTCCCTGACTCCCTTCGCGTAGTCAGGGACCACTTCCTCTCAGTTTGCCCCACCACTCTCACCGTTGACCTCCTCGAGAAGTCCCTCCTAGCAGCAGAGAAGAGCATAGTAGCTGTAGGAGCCTCTCGTGGTGACCCTCGCACCCCCATCTTTGAGGGGTGTTCCCCCTCCCCCCTTTTGCCCTCTGTTGCCTCTGCTGCTGCGGCCGACCTCGTTGGGCTTGAGTCGGTCGGTGCGGCGTCTACCCCTAGCGGGAGACGCCGCCCTGGCAAGGGCAAGGGGGGCAGGGGCGCTGGAGGAGCTAGCGGGGGCGGTGGAGGCGGCAGTGGAGGCGGTGGAGGAGGTGGGGGTGGCGGTGGGGGTGGTGGCGGGGGTGGAGGTGTCGGTGGCGGCAGTGGAGGCGGAGGCGGCAGCGGCAGTGGCGGAGGGAGCGGAGGTGGCGGCGGTGGAGGAGGAGGCGGCGGAGGCGGTGGAGCTGGTCGGGGTGGCGCTGCGCAGAGGGTCGGCTCCGGTGGTGGTCAGCGCCAGCAGCAGCAGCAGCACCAGCAGAGCACTCGTGACATCCCCTCCCCTCAGCAGCTCCGTGAGTGGTACACTGCACGCCAGAGGGGTGGGGGTACTGGTCCGTGCACCTACGTCCTCCGCACCGGCGACCGCGCGGGTGAGCAGTGCGGGGGTGCGCACTCCACCCAGCGCTGCTTTGGCCGCCTGACGGACGCTTGGCGTCACCAGTTCCCTGAGGCCACTGAGATCCCCCGCTGGGGTGAGCTGTCTAGGGCGGGTGTGGCTGTCTTTGACCTTGACTTTGATGCTATTCTTGCTGCCATGTATACTGTGACTATTAGTGATGAGGGTGACTGTTACCGGTGTTTTCCGCCCGACCCGGGCATTGAGACTGCTGCTCTAGGTACTGGTGAGGCTGCTGCTCTAGGTGCTAGCGAGGCTGCTGCTCTAGGTGCGTCTGCTCCCTCAGGTGCTGGTGAGTCTGCTCTCTCAGGTTCTGCGTCGGCTTCGGCCTCCCACACCTTCACCCTTGACTCGGGGGCTTCTCGCTCCTTCTTTCGAGACCGCACCACACTCACGCCGCTTAGCCGGCCAGTTGCAGTCTCTCTGGCAGACCCCTCTGGGGGTCCTGTCCTTGCTCACTTCTCCACTGTCCTCCCGTGTCCGGCGGCCCCCTCTGGCACCCTGTCTGGTCTTTACCTTCCCTCGTTCTCTACGAACTTGGTGAGTGGTGCTGACCTACAGGATGCGGGGGTTCACCAGTTCACTCCTGCGAGTCGGCGGGTGACCCACTGCACGGACGCTCGGACAGGCCGACACCTGGCCACGTTTACCCGTCGGCCGGGGTCGAGCCTGTACACCCTGACCACTGCGTCTCCTCCAGTCACTGCGTCTGGTCAGGTAGCTGCGTCGGGTCAGGTGTTTGCTGCAGCGTCCAGGTCTGGTCCTGAGTCTGCCCCCTGTTCGTGTCGCCTCCTGTCTCACGAGACTCTCCTCTGGCACCACCGCCTTGGTCACCCCTCCCTGCTTCGTCTCCGAAGCATGGCCTCCCGTGTCCTTGTCTCTGGTCTTCCCCGGTCCCTCCCTCCCCTTCCTCCGGGGCCTGGCCCTACCTGCGTCCCCTGTGTCGAGGGGCGGCAGCGGGCTGCCCCTCACTCCTCCCAGTTTCCTCCGACAGAGGCCCCGCTGCAGACGCTTCACATGGACGTGTGGGGCCCGGCCCGCGTCCGTGGACAGGGTCACGAGCGCTACTTCCTGCTAGTGGTTGACGACTACTCGCGTTACACCACAGTCTTCCCCTTGCGCAGCAAGGGTGATGTCACTGAGGTGTTGATCGACTGGATCCGCGCAGCTCGTCTCCAGCTCAGGAAGAGCTTCGGCTCGGACTTTCCTGTTCAGCG